GAGAGAAGAAAAATAAATGTCTTCTGATATGTAAATTAATTTTGTATTAGACCCTGTTGGAGCACCCCCTAGATCACGGGATCAGCAAACTACAGCCCAGGGACCCAATACAGACTTCTGACTGTTTTTATAAGTAAGCTTTTACTGTAAACGGTCATGGGGCACCTGGGTGGCTCAGTTGGTTGAGCATTTGGCTTGATTTCAGCTCAGGTCATGATCTCACAGTTGTGGGAGCTGAGGCTGGAGCCTACTTAAGATTCTCCCTCTCCTTCTGCCTCTCTCCCCTGCTCACACACTCTATCCCTCTCTGAAAGAATTTTTTTTAAGTTAAAAAAAAAAGAAAGAAAACAGTCATGCCTGTTCACTTTTATATTGCATGTTAGCATGCTTTCATGCTAAAGCAGCAGGGTTGAGGGGAGCCTGGGTGGCTCAGTTGCTTAAGCATCTGAATTCAGCTCAGGTCATGGTCTTGGGGTTCGTGAGTTCAAGCCCCATGTTGGGCTCTGTGCTGACAGCTCAGAGCCTGAAGCCTGCTTTGATTCTGTGCCTCCCTCTCTCTCTGCCCCTCCCCTTAAAAATAAATAAACCTTTAAAAAAAAAACCCACAAAGTGGGGCACCCGGGTGGCTCAGTCGGTTGAGCATCCAACTTCGGCTCAGGTCATGATCTCACGGCTCGTGAGTTCGAGCCCCACGTCGGGCTCTGTGCTGACAGCTCGGAGCCTGGAGACTGCTTCATATTCTGTGTCTCCCTCTCTCTCTGCCCCTCCCCCGCTCATGCTCTATCTCTCTCTCTCTCTTTCTCTCAAAAATAAATAAACATTCCAAATAATAATAATAATACATCTTTTTAAAAAAAACCCACAAAGTTGGGGCTGCCACCTGAGGAGTGGGGGTTGTTGCTGGGCATGTGCCAACCAGCCATCTTAGGTTGGGTCCTGCCACAAGCGGAGTCTGAAACAAGGAGTTGAGGTCAAGTCGTTTACTGGAAAGGAGCATCTATATACAGGGGACAAGAAAGTAAGGCAGGAGTGGAGGGAAACTGATTCAGGACATGTGGGTGAATGGGCTTCTTTGCGGGCAGCTGGGGCTCAGACCCCCCAGGGGGAGTGTAGAACACCTCAGAGTTATCCCAATGGAGGGGAGAAGGAGCTGGGGTATTTATGCACCAGGTCCTATCCATCCTGATCAAGGGTGGCCTCCAGGAGCATCAACACCCCAGTGCTCCCAACCTGCCGGGTGTGTGGACCGAGCACAATCCTATACCACAGGATCCCCCAAGGCAGAGTCATATGTGCTTGGCATGAGAAGCATGGGGATGTAGGCATGAACCAGAACAGTGAGGGTCAGGGAAACTGGGGGATCAACACCCATGGTGGCTTCCACGACAGCAGTTACGGGTCACCGACTCAGCGCTTGGCGGATGGGAGGGGTGGGCAGCTGGGATTCAGCTTCTTTGTGGAGGAGGCAGCTCCAGGAGACTCTCAGTCCCGGACCTGAGGCTGGGACTCTGGTGCAACAGTTAGGACCAGCCACCTGCAGCACTGGCACTTTAGGCACTCCAGGACTTGTCCAAGCTCCGGGGTGCTCTTGTCACCGAGCTACAGGAAGGCCTGCTCTGAGCCCCCGTGTTTACTGACAAGAAATGTTTTTTAGAAAATTATAAAGTGCTTGTTTTCAGAGACCTCAGGGAGAGGGAAAGCTAGGAGATGAACCCATTCTTCAGCTCCTTGGGGAAAACAAACTAAGCAGGGCAAGTGGAGATAAGGAGGCAAGAAAAGAGCAAGTAGGGTTCTGGGGGGCTGGGGGCAACTAGCCCAACTACACCCCAAAGTGTCCATTGTAAGCAGTCCCACATTCCACATGGCGAGCCCAGCTTGAGGTTGAGGCGAGGCTGCCAGGAAATAGTGTTTTCTTGGTTCCTGCCTCCCTCCTTGACCTCCCCTCCTCCATTGGCCCTCTGTAGTCCCCTTTAGTTTGCCTCCTTGAACAGGCTAAGATCATTCCTGCCCCAGGGCCTTTGCACTTAAATGCTCCTTCCTCAGCTCTGTACATGACTGGCCCACTTTGTCATTCAGATCACGTCACCGCATTCATGGGGTCTTTGCCTGACCATTCAATCCGAAGTAGACCCATGGCCACTCTTACATGTCGTCCTGTTGGTTCCTTTCCTAGTATTGTCAGACTAATTTTCTCTTAGTTATCTGCTTGCTTGTGCATGTCCTTCCTCCCCATGCCAAAATGTCATGTCTGTGAGAGCAGAACCGCGTCTGATTTTTCTCTGCTGTCTCCCCAGTGCCCAGAACCATGCATGGCACAGAACAGACCCCCAGTCCATTTTTGATGGTGGACTGAATGTAATATAAAAATAACATTTCTTTCCAAAGTGATACCCTGCCTTTGAAAATAAGAATATGAACTGAACATATAGTCCACACAGTAAAAAGACTTCACGGGGAAGAGATAAAGTCTTCAGTGGCTGTGATGTTGAATATAACATACACTGATCCAAATTCCTAGTACATTCCGGGCTCTAGCTAATGGTTTCCATCATTCTCTCTTAAGCTTTTAAATTATAAATATTTCAAAAGTGTGCAATGGAGTGGGCCCTTCCATTCATCTTTTAGAAAGAACAACAAAAGCATATTTCTTTCTTGAAGTCAAAACCTCAAATGAATTCAGAACAAGATTTTTTTTACCACTCTGAATAGGAAAGGTGACTATTAAGTACTCTTTCTATTACTCATAACAAAGAAATAATAGAATGTAATTTACGACTCCGTCAATTTTGCCTAATAACGTGTCACTGTCTTACGGGATACTTTTGTTTAGGCAGATGTAATAATCCTTCTAAGCATATTTCTTCAGTGCCCATATGAGCATCTACATAGGGTAGGAGCAGTTTCTCAATTGCTAGAAGTAAAAAAAAAATTCTTTTGGACCAGTAGTAGAAAAACAGATGCCTAGAGGCAACACAGAAATTTTGTAAAGACTCTAGTTTGAAGTGGGGCACCTGGGTGGCTCAGTCAGTTAAGCGTCCGACTTCAGCTCAAGTCATGATCTCACACTTCATGAATTCGAGCCCTGGGTGGGGCTCTGTGCTGACAGCTCAGAGCCTGGAGTCTGCTTCAGATTCTGGGTCTCCCTCCCTCTCTGCCCCTTCCCCATTCACGCTCTCTCTCTCTCTCTCTCAAAAATAAGTAAACATTAAAACATTTTTTAAAAATTCTAGTTTGAAGGAATTTGTTTCCTAGGATGTGACACAGTATCTATATGTACACGTGTGTGTGTATGTGTGCAAGAGGGGCATGCAGATACACGTATATGACGATAATTGAGATCACTGATAAATGTGAAAAATCTCCCCCCAGCAGCACAGCACGCTGTCTGGCACACGGTATATGCTCATGAGTGCTTGTTGGACCAATCAGTTAACTAAATCCTACACAAGGGACTACGCAGTGACATTTGATTTTTCTTTTTGAACCTGACCTAGGATTGCAATTTCTCAGTGAGAACATTTTCAGTACTCAGACAAAAGGACACGGGACATAAGCTGTGGCAAAAGGCCTGGGTGCCCCAGTTAGATCCTCATGACCCATGTATTTCCATGCCCGATGTCCAAATGCCTGCAGCTATATTTCTGCACCTGAGGGTTTCTTGCCCCTGAAGTCAGTGCCCTGGGAGCAGCCCTCCCCACTGGCGGACCCGAGGAGATACTTCAGCTCCCTCCTCACTCGGGCAGGATAACTCTGGGGCATGGGTTCTACTCCATCTCCCAGAATCCCTTGGGGCGACTGAGCTCCAAGTGCCCGCAGTGCTAACTGATCTGGTAGCAGACCTCTTATTGGCTGCCTTGCCGTCCCGGGCTCCCTCCTGCACCCCACTTCTGGCGCTTCCTGGGATCACACCCCCAAAGAAACTACACTCAAATCCCTGCTTCAGGATCAACTTCTCAGCGAACCCAAACTAAGACAGACAACTTTCATCATGCACCTCTAACAAAACACTCCTCCATGTGAACAGGTGTTTGTGCTTGAGATGCAATAAAAAGGCACCAATGCATCCACTAGCATGTTTCTGTGTGAGGCCCAGACACTCTGTGTGAGGTCCAGAGACTCTAATGAGTCTCTCCATGACCGGTGATGAAGGGCATGTCTCTTTCCTTAAAGGAGCAGGGTTTGATGGCCCCTGAACAGGGCATCCCTGTCCTGAGCATGGCTGACCCACCTACACTCCCAAGGCCCCTGTTAATTAGACAAAGGGTGTGCAAGCAAAGAAAACTTTTTAATTAAGGCTTCATTGGCAATGTCAGAAGGGCCAACTATGGTCTAATCCAAACAAGGAACCTTCACTCTTTTGTCATCTGTTCTAAAATATCAAGGCACTTCCCCTACAGTGGCCCCAAAGACGTTGTTTCCCACTGACCCCGGGCATTTTAAGAGCTCTTCTCTCCCGATTTCTTCTTGTTTGCCTTTGTCTTCCCAATCATGGTCTCCACGATGACAGCCGTTTCTTCATACGTCTGGATGCTCTCCGTGGAAAACTTCTCAATGGATTCCATCACTTCCACCTTCTCATATGCCAAAGTCCTGGGCGGACTTCTCTCCTGTGCATCACTGCTCCTAGCCGTATGCCCCCCAGATCCACCCTGACCGATCCCAGGCCTTTGCGACTGGGGTGTAGATGGTCCCTCTGGACCAGGTGTGATCACGGGACAGGGCCCCTTGGACGACGACGACTCCTCCTCCTCTTCCTCCTTCTCCTCCTTCTCCTCCTTCTCCTCCTCCTCCTCCTCCTCCTCCTCCTTTTCCTTCTCTTCCTTCTGGTCATCATGTTTCTCCCCAGGCCCTTTCGGTTCTTCGGCACTAATCTCATTCTTCTTGTCGGCAGTATGCTGGTCAGGTGCCTTTCCGCCTTCCTTCTCCTGAAGGTCCCCCTGTCCATTCTCCACAGGGGGCCCGGGTGGCTCAGGAGAGGGCTCCACAGTGCTGTCGCGATGTACAGAGTCATCCTCAATGGAAATAACCACTCCACCTTTGGCTGGGATGGAGAAGGAACAGAACCCAGGGTCCACATAACTGGCATCCCCAGAAACCAGCACGTACCGCCCTTTGGTGTAGAGGTCAGCCGGAGGTTCGGGTTCTTTGGGGCTTTTCACTTTGTCTTTGACCTTCTTGAACAGTTTCCCAAAGGCTTTGCTTATCTGCCCTCCATCTGGCACGTCTTCTGGAGCCCCTTCTGGGGTTGGGAGACTTGCTTCTTCGGCTCCTAATTCAAGCTTAGACTCACCTTCTTCTTTGGGTACCACCTGTACCAGCTTTGTGTCTTCTGGACCTTTCAGTGGTATGTCTTCCAGACTCTCATCAGCTTTGTCTTTAGCTATAATCTCCTTTTTCCTTGGAATGTTCTTGGGGAGACCTTTCTGTCTTGGTTTTGCTGCTGTTATATCCTGCACAGCCCTAGTGAGATCTAAAAAAAAGGGGGGGAGGGGGCAGGGGCATAAGTCAAGTTTGTCAATGGAAGAGGAAGAAAATGTGTTTGTGGGAAAATATGCTATTTTGGAGACCAAGGCCTAGCGCAGGAGTAGAGTTTACCATACATGAGGCAAAAAGAACAGAGAAAGATGCCTGGATCTGACCAGCAGCATTCATGGCCCACATTAAGGTCCCAGCTCTGCCACCAGCTGTGTGAATCTGGGCAAGTCGCTTGACCCCTCTGGGCTTGCAGAGAGGAGGGAAGGTACTGCCTGTTCTGACAGTTCTCACAGTTCCCACCCCACTGGCTGCGACTTACTGAGACATTCTACTGCAGTAACACTCGGAGTCCCCACCCCAGCTCCTGCTGAGCTCATGGTGAATACTTGGCTCTACCAGCTAGTCGATGGAACTCATTCTACAGAGTTATCCTCGCAGAGCGGACTGGGCCTCCAGTGTGTTCTGAATGGCCTCAGGCAGGGGACTCAATCTCCCGTGCTCCACACGCATCCCAAGCTAAATAGATACAAATGCCCCTTCAGTAGCATCCCTTTCCTCCTGGGCCAAAGAGGAAGCAAAGTACTAAATTCAGAAATGATGGGAATCCCCTGATCCCAAGGCTGTCTTCTAAAAGGAAAAACTGAACGGTTAAGAAAACACACACAATCTCGCCTTGCCTCGTCTATGAGGCTTTTCAACTCCACTTGCAAGCAGATTTCATCTCAGAGGTCTTATCCATGCCCTCCCGCCATGAACCAGAGGACTGACAGACAAAACGAAGGCACCTAGCACAGGTTGACTCAGACAGCTGAGTGACCAGGGAATGGCAGAAATGAGCCATGAAGCCATAAGGGAGGAAGGGATGTGCAAAGGGACTTGTCTAAGGTAGCCTGCTGGGGGAAGGGGGGGCTTACAGGAACTGCTGCAGAATTTCAGGGCCCGGTACAAGAGGGAAAGGCCCTGTTCAAAATCATGAAGTATTTCAAGACAGTGGGGTGCCTGGGTGGCTCAGTCAATTGAGCCCCTGACTCTTGATTTTAGCTCAGGTCATGATCTTGTGGTTTGCGAGTTCAAGCCCCACGTTGGGCTCTGCACTAACAATGTGGAGCCTGCCTGGGGTTCTCTCTCTCCCTCTCTCATTGCCATTCTCCCACGTGTGTGCATCCCCTCTCTCTCTCTATCTCTCCCCCCACCCTCAAAATAAAAAAAAAAAAATTTTTAATACAGAAAAAACAAAAAGAATTTCAAGACAGTGACAGCAGAGCACTACACCAAGTGTGGGGACCCTTGTGTGCACAGGGCCCCGTGTGTGGCCGCATGCTCCCAGAGCCAGTCCCAGTCCCTGGGACTGCTGCCCCCTTCCAACACGTTCAGACTCCGAAACCCCATTTCCACAAATCCCTCTGAGCTCTCTGAGGGACGTGGATTTGAAAGCACTATAGGCAACACCCTCTTCTTTTCTCCTACAACACTGTGTTTGTTCAGCACTAGGGAGATTTAGCTGTGAGGTAACATCTCTCAGCTGCATGAAACCATCCCCAAAGGACCAAACGTGAAAGACGGAAGCCATGGTTGCCAACCAAGCTGGTTGTGCTTGGTTTTGCATGGAAGAGAAGTGAGCGATAATTGAGCGTTGACTCTGCCCCAGACACCGCATTAAGCACTTTTGCACGGCATTGCTCATTTCCTTTGCTAAGGTGAATATTGAATTATATTTCCCCCCAATTTAATGCTTCAAGTTCAAGGATGACATTCCCAAGGTGGCCTATCCCCCAGTCTTTTTTTCTCCTTGTAAACATTCTGGCTCAGTCACTCAGCACCTGTGGGAGTGAATCAGAGAGAGAAGACCTCATATAAAAGCATTTAATTTCCAAATGGATCAGAAGGAAGCATAAATGTTAAGTTCAAGAAGAAAGCCGTTTGATTTTCCCCCCCACTTTTCCATGATAGAAAACAGCAGAAGCCAGGGTTAGGAAGCATTACCTTTCCCACCAAGCCGAGAGCTGAGAAAGGTTCCATGGCTTGGGGTGAACAGGGTGACAGGAGTTTCAATGAAGGCAGAGCTCAGCCTGGAGAAAGAACCAGAAAGAGGATGATCGCCATCTTGAATTCATCAAACCAAACAGATGGTGGGGGATTAAGAGTGACTCTTTAATGTGACCAAAAATGAGGAAAGCTTTCTCTAAATCACACTATTCATGAAACATATACACACTTATACACTAGATGAGGATGTGAAGGGTTTCTTTGAGCTCGAGTCATACCCTGTGAAACACACAGGAGAATTATAAAATGGGGGTTGCTTGTAATCTAAAAAATGGCACTTCTCTGTTGAACAGAGTTTTTGTTTTTGCTTTTTTTTAATAAAAAAGTAGTGAGCTCAGGTGGAAGTATTTACAGCAACCAGGATATGGTATCCCCAATTCTTTTTTAAAACATGATATGCATTATATATAAGTAGAGAAAAAACTGACTACGCAATTAAGACAAAACGTAGACAAGTGGTGAGTCTGAGAAAAGAGTGTTCAGGAGTTCCTTGTTCTATGCTTACAACATTTCTACCAACTTGAAATTACAACAAAATTCGAAGTTCTAAGCAAACCAGCAAAAAGGCAACCCAATGACCTTTTTATGAAGTCTTGCCTCCAAAACAAAAACCTCCACACAGTCACTTAAATGCCAGTTCAAGACATATTTTCACGCGTGCATAAAGCGTTCACTGTGACGCAAATATAACGTAGGATTACGCAACAATCCACTGACCATAATTAGAGAAAGAAAAAGAAAATCTTGCTTTCTCTGCTAAAACATTGGAGCACTCACGGCCAAGACAGAGCACCCATGGGGACATTAACGTCCCCAGAGGCCTGTGGGGCCAAAAGCAACCTTCTCCACAGGGTCTTTTGCGACCATCCTACTTAAAATTTCACGAGACAAGGAAAGAACTGCTCCTGGTGGGGCAATTCTGGGTGCTTCTCTTTTAATGCAGTCTAAACCCCCAAATCAGCAAAACTTAATCAAAGAACCACAACTTAATAAAGTGACAGTCCTTCTATGAGGTACCTTCTATGAGTCTCCAATCTGCTCTCTGAATGATATCTATGGATATGGCCAGGGACATGGACACAGATATAGATGATGTAGGTGTAGATATAAATAATGCAGATGCACATATAGAGAGATGCACATGTACATGATATAGGTGTGCACAGACATGACGTAGGTGCAGACACGCTTGATGTAGGTACAGGTGTAAATGTGCACACACATGAAGATGACATAGATCTAGATGACGTAGGTGTAGATGTGGATGGAGGTGATGTAGATGGAGGTGTGGACGGTATACACATAGATGGTGTAGACGTAAGTGTAGGGGTAGGCGGAGATGATGTAGATGTAGGGATAGGTGTAGGGGTAGATGTTACAGGTGTCAGTGTAAACGTAATGCTGTCGGTGCAGGTACAGATTATATGACACAGAAGCAGACGACACAGGTAATGTGGCATACATGTACAGGTGGATGGTGTGGCTGTGGATGCAGATGTAAGTGTAGATGTCAGTACACCCAGATGACAGAGTCATGATGGAGACTGTAGGTGTCGGTGTAGACGATGCAGAGATAGAGACAGGGGAAGAGGAAGAGAGAGAGAGATAGGGATGGGGATGCAGATAGGGATAGGGGATAGGGAGAAAAACAGGGATAGGGATAATGTCATGGATAAGGATAGGGATAGGTGACTAGGACAGGAGATAAGGAGAGGGCATAAGGATAGGGGATAGAGACAGGAGATAGGGACAGGGATAGGGGATAGGGACAGGGAAACAGGATAGGGATAGGGGACAGGGGTAGGGACAGGGGTAGGGGATGGGGATAGAGGTAATTTCTCAGCTATCCTGAAGTTAATGGAGCTTAACTCACGGCTCCACTATGAACAAGACGGCCAGTGCACTGACAGCCACATTACTGATGCGACCAGGTGACAAAAGCAATGACAGTAGCAGCACTAATAACACCAACACCTCCGATCGCTTGTCGAGTGCCAGGCACTGCATTAGGCACCTCACCTGCAGCATCTCATTAAATACTCCCGGTCATCCCACCTGCTAAGACATCTATGTCCCCAGAGGCCTGTGGGGCCCAAAGCAACCTTCTCCATGGGGTCTTTTGCAACCACCCTACTTAAAATTTCAAACATTCCCACCATCGCCCCATTGCCGTTCCCCTCTCCCCCATCACAATTCACTCCCTAGTACTTGTCATCTGTTACAAAGCCATCCATCAGCTGCCTCCCCAACTAGCATTCCAGCTCCACCAGGCCACGGGGTTGCGATTCCTCCCCTGCCACGCCCCTACCACCTGGAACCGTGCCTGGCACACAGGAAGCACCCAACGAGGACCTGTGAACTAAGCCAGCGGCCGGGACGGAGAGAGACGCGCAGCCTCTGGGCCGTGCCCGTCTGTGACCACACCTGTTGCCTTCGTTCTCAATGATCCGGTGGTACCGCTCCAGCTCGTTCTTCAGGGTCTGCTGGGCGACCACCAGCTGCCGGCAGTCATAGGAAGACCTCTCCAGGCTCCTCTCAGTCTCCTCAATCTCCTTCCGCAGGCTTTCGATCTGCTCGTTATAGAGCTGAATCTCGTCATCGTAACACTCGTGGGCATCTTTAA